TCACTTTTTTTTTTTTTTTTTTTTTTTTGGGTCTTTTTCCTTTTTATCGGTACCAGGGATTGAACTCACGATTGCCTGCTTGCAAGGCAGGCACTTATGCCGCTGAGCTAAATCCCCAGCCCCCTCTTCCTCACTTTTTAATTAAAGTTATTTTTAAGTTTTATGCCTTGGATATCAATTAAATTTTTTTTCTGTCATAACTTCTTACATTTTTGTTTTACTTTTTACTCTAATGGGAATCTTTTTCTTCTTTTTGGTGTTTACAAACCTGCATTCCTAAGGCTAAGGATATTAACTTAGTGAGTGGCATAAGTGCCTGCCTGGCAATCACAGGGGCCTTAGTGCAATTCCTGGTACCAAAAAAACCCAGCATTCCTGATTCATATCATATTGATAAAATATATCTGACCAAAACAGTAAACACACTAATATATTAACAGAGTTGACTATATGATGAGTACTGTATGCTATTATAGTAATCATTTTGTTTCTGCAGCTCAGTGCAAGGTCTGTATTAATATTAACATTCAGTTAAGCACTGTTGATTAAGCAACATTTTAATAAGAACAGTAGTGCATATTCAGCATTAACTGTGTGTTAGGCATTGTTTTAACAGTTGGCTGACCTAAATTAACATGTATAATCTATATTGCCAAAATTAAGTCTTTGGCTTGGATTTTCTTTTTAAAAATTTTTATTAGTGCATGCTTGCAGCACATAATGATTACATTCTTCTTGGGCAGTTGGAACATGTACATAAATCACCTTAATTCTTTTTTTCATCCATTTTTCCTTCCTTCATATTCTGATCCCTTTCCCTTTTGCAAAAGCACTAGCTTCCTATTCCATATTATCTTATATTTTGCTGTTTAATTTGTTTGTATTTTGGATTTCTCATAAAAGAAAGATCAGACAATATTTAAGCAATGTATCTAATTTATTTCACTTGACATGATCTCAAGGTACATCCATTTTTCTGTACTGGCTTAAGTTCATGCTTTGTAGCAGAGTAGTACTCTATTTTATATAAATACATTTTCTTTATCCATTCATCTTTTGTTGGATATACTTCTAAGATTTAGCCCTTATGAACTGTGCTACTGTAAACATGAATATGCAATGTCACCATAATATGTCTTTCACTCTTTGGGAAGATACCTAGAAGGGTAATAGCTGGGTCAAATGGAATTTCTACTTACAGTTTTTTAAAGAATTTCCATACTGATTTGCAAAGTGGTTGTACTGGCTTACATTCAGCGATGTAGGTTTCTTTTTTCCCTCTCATCCTTCATTATCATTTGATTTCTTGATACCGTTTCTGGAGTAAGAAGGAATTGTCAGTGTTGTTCTAATTTATATTTCTCTAATGGCCAGAGTTGTTGAACATTTTTTCTGTGTTGTAGTTATCAGTTGCCTGTTTTTTGATTTTTCATTTTTGGGGGGGGGGTTCTAATTTTTTGAGTTCTTTATATATTCTAGTTACTCATCCTTTTCTAAGAAAAAGCTTGCAAAATTTTTTCCCCCTTCTGTAGGTTGTCTCTATACTCGGTTGGTTACTTAGCTGTACAGAAACTTTAATTTAATGTTATCCTGTTCGTTGATTTTTTTTTTTTTTTTTGGTGATATTTCTTGTGCAGTTGGGATTCTGTTCAGAAAGTCTTTCTCTGTGCCTATGTCTTCAAGAGTTTTACCTAGTTTTTCTTCTAGCAGATTGTTTCTGTTTTACCATTTAGATCTTTGATCTGTTTTTGAGTTGAGTCTAATACGGGGTGAAATATGGGTCTAAATTCAGTCTTCTGCATGTGGATAGCCAGTTTTTCCAGTTATGACTTGGTTTTTCATCCTGTCTAGGACCTATTATGGAGCAGTGTGTGTATGTGCGCCTGCCTGTCTTTTTGTGTGTCTGTGGCACTGGGATTGAAAGCCAGTCCTGTGCACTGACTTATATCCCCAGGACTTTCTCTGTATTTTTATTTTGGGGCAGCCTTTCTCTAAGGCAGAGTTGTCCAGGTTGGCTTTGAACCTGTTGATTTTCCTGCCTCAGCTTGTGAGAGTCCTAGTTTACCAGGCACGCAACACTATGCCCAGCTTTTTAAAATTTTGATGAAGTCGTATTTATCAGCATTTTCTTGTACGGGTCATGACTTTGGGGTTAAGTTATAGAATAGTATTGAATAAAGTCCTCAAGTGACCTTGAGTTTTTATCTTTTCCATGTAAAATAAACATTAAAGCATAAGATTCTTAATTTCATGATTTTGGACTTTTCATTATCCAGACAAGAGAATGAGAAAATAAGTCAACCCCACCCCCCAATCTTAAGTGTACTAAGCTTGGATAATATTATTAAACACGCACAACAGTGTTGTAAAACCAGGTGTCTAAAGCTATATTATGTGTTTTAAGTTACCAATTACTGCATGTCAGGATAATGATGTGTATTTTTTATTACAAAGATTCTACAATGTAGATGCTATCCCTGTTTATACACAACTCTTTTATTTGTATATAATTGTTTTTCATTTGAGGAAACTGAGGCTCTTAGAAGAAAGGTCATTGTGTTCATTGTTCCCTAATTTAAAAAAAAGCTAGGACTAGAATCAGATTTTTATGTCTTCAAAGCCTATTTTGTTTAACAAATGCCTGGCTTTTGTTGTTGCAATGCATATTTTATGTTTCACGGAAGATCCAAACTTGATCTTAGTTCGTGATATGGCTGAGCCTCTAATACTGTCTGTGTATTTTTTGATTTTCATCTTATTAGAGTAAGTCAGCATGCCATATCAACATTAAGTTAAAACTGTGTTTGGAATAGACTTTTTCTTTGCACCCTGTGATAAAAACAAACAAGTATTCACTTTGCTGAGTTTTCTTGGTTACCATTCTGTTGAATGTAGTAGTGTGTTCATAATACGAGCTTTCTCCCACTAAGCAAAGACTTCATTTTAAAACACTGTCGAGGGACCAGAGATACAGCTCAGTGGTACAGCACCTGCCTGGCAAGTCCAAGATTATAATTTCAATTCCTGGTCCATTCCCCCCCCCTCAAAAAAAACTGTTAAAGATTATAGTTTTGGGTCTGGTTGGGAAAGAGTGCAAGAGAAGTACAGAGAAGTAACACCATGCTTTTCCAATAGTGGGATTTCAAGGACACTTTATTTTTAAGTATGTAAGACTATTTGGCCTATTTTTTGTGTGATTCTGTTATAGCCAGTCTTCTCACAGTTTTGAACTAATTAGGGCATGAATGAGACCCTCAGCTTCTTAGAAGTTTCTTGGATGTTGGTCTTTTCAGATCAGAGTTGAGGAGCACATGGAGTTTCTCTTGGGGTAATTCCGTGCCTCCCGGCCGCTTTCCCAGCCCGGCTGCTGTCAGCACAGGCTTACTTACTCAGGCCACCTCACACCAGTCCTCCTGAGTCACCGCTTCGCCAAGTCATCACTTACAGCACTGCTTTCCATCAGCCTCAGAAAAAGCCTCTTTCATCACGTCACTTCCTTTGCGAAGTCTTAAAAGCCTCTTCATGGCCTGGAAGGTGCCCTAAGTGGATGGTGGCTAGTTTAAAGTTACTACGGCCCCCTATACATTTCCTTTTGCTCTAAACCCTTCCAGCCCTTGTTGTCTTTCATAGTTAACCGTGAAAGTAGGGTTGGGCGTTATTTTTCTTTGTTTCAACTTGTGTGGAAGTCTATGGGCTTCTTAAATAGAAAGGTATACTTCCCCCCAAATTTCCTAAAAAGTTAACCTAATAAAATGAGCTGAATTGTAGTCAGTGCATATTAATTATCAATATTTCAATTACTCTCTACAGTATTCATATTAGCAACAGATACTCAACTACATTATTTGAATACTTTGCTTAATATTGTATAACTATTGAATGCACAGTGTACAGATAGGAAAGATGGCACATATGCTCACTGGTTTATTTTTTTTCTTTTATTTCATTTTATGCCAGTACTTAGATCTTGATTTTTTAAAAACCCAAGCTATGGCAGTTTTGATAAAAGATACTGAGATACACCTCTGATTAGAAAATAAAACAACAGAAGTGTCTTCCTTCTTCTACTTATGTATACCTTTTCTCTGTTAAATGGTTCAATTATTTCTAATTTGGAAACTAAACAATAACAGAAGTATCTGTACCTACATACACCTTTTCTCTATTAGGTAGTTGAAATTTTACTTGTATATATTAATCATTACCTTGTTTTCATACGTTTTTCACTCCAGGAAGCTTAAAATTAAAACTTAACATCTTAAAATAATAGAAGGAAAGTGGAAGATGCTTTTTTTCTTTTTAATATTTACTTATTTATTTTAAATTTGGCCCAGTTCAAATAGTGCTTAGAGAAACGGAATGTTGTAGATTAACAGATAAAAGAAGGTGAGTACAAGACTATAGAGCTCATGAGCAATAGTACTCTTCACAGACCATGGCTCATTCCAAACCTTTGTACTGTGAGTCACAAAGAGGTCGTTGAGGAAGATAGAACCATTTAAAATGTGATAAAATAGTGGAATAATAGGCAAAAAATTATGTGATGATCATCCTTATAGCTATTTTCTAGTTATCTCCAAATTCTCCTTGATAGTGAGGTTTTTAAAAACTTTCTTATCCAATGCAGTACTCAACCAAATTTATTCTTATATAGTACTTGGTTAGATACAAAGTCTTTTAGAGGTATTGACAAAAGCTACTTTTATCTGTATTTTTATATGTCTATTAATGTCTATGTCTGACTGTCTTGAGAAGACCTGAGTACTTGTTGTTAGAATGTTTGACATTCTAGATTTGCTTGTTTTCTGAGGATTAGACTTGTGAATTTACCATGTTAAACATTTTTCTCTGTGATTCTAAGTCTTCGATATTGGATAGTTCTGACTATACCATATCAGAAGATCCTCCAATGTGAACATAAAATTTATGATCTATCTATCTCTGCACATAGTAGCAGTATCAATTTAATTGATTGGATTATGGTTTTCATATTTCAATAGACAACGACTGAACGGCCTTTCATTCAGAAACTATTTCGTCCTGTGGCTGTGGATGGACAGTTGCAAACGCTAGGAGATCTCCTCAGAGAAGTTTGTCCTTCCGCAGTTGCTCCTGAAGGTAATGCGTTCAACAGCATCAAACCATTTCTTTGATCTTTTTTACATTGCTTTTTTACTATGGTAAAGTAAGCACTTTTCATTTGTATGTAATTTCAGTCATTTCAGAAAAAAATTTTGATTATCTTGTAGTATCTTTTGTTACAGAACCACTGATTAAGACCTTGATGTTCTTTGACAAAATAAAATACATTTTTAAAAAATGTCTACCTTAACATATCTCTGGTGCTCTGGGTCTTTCTTTTTTTTGGTACTGGGGATCAAACTCACGACTGCACACTTGTAAGGCAGGCACTTATGCTGCTGAGCTAAATCCCCAGCCCATTGTATCTTTATAGATACAGTTCTGGTAAGTTTGAAAATATATCTACTGTACAATATTCCTTATTTGAAATACTTGGAATTTAGAAGTATTTCAGATTTTTGAAATATTACATAAGCATTATGAGATATTTTAGAGATTTGCTTAAGCTTCATATAAACGATTCATATAGCCTGAAGGTAATTTTATTTAATATTTTTATTTTGCCTATATTTCAACTGTGAACTGTCATACAGTGAGGTGTGGAATTTTCCACTTGTCCTGTCATATAGGCGCTCAACATATTTTGGACCATTTTGTATTTTTATGTTGCAATACTTAAATATATTTAACACATACTGTTCTGCTTTTTCACCTAATCATTGCCCAGTTACTGAATGACCTATAATCTCAGCTTTGTTGATTACTGTTCTGATCATTGGCTGATCTGTAAGAAATTTACAGTGGCACATTAGCATGTTCATTAATGTATTGCATAGATTTGTACTCATTACATATTAAAATAAATGTAAAATTTGCTACTTTTAAATCCTAGGTGGAAAGAAGTGTGAGGTATTAGTAAGTAAGAAAGTAGTAATGTTGCTTTTTTTAAAATTGTTTTTACAAGTCTTGTCTTTAGGATCAAAGATATATCTGAGTAATGTTTTTCTTATGAATGTATTCTAAGTTAGGGAATCACAATATTATGGTTTTCACTGTACCACGCAGTTCAAAAATCTGAGAAAGTGGCCTGGTCCAGTGGCATGTGTCTGTTGTAATACCAGCTGCTCTAGAGACTGAGACAGGAAGATCTCAAGTTTGAGATCAGCCTGGGCAACTGAGTGAAACTGTTTCAGAACAGGGGCTGGGGATTTAGCTCAGAGAGAGAGTGTCCCTCAGTTCAATCCCCAATACGGAAAAAAGAAAATGATCTAAAGAAGTAAACCCTAGTATTCAAATTCCTAAAAAATAGAATTAGAAACAATAGAATTAGGGATTGATACTCTAGCCCAAATGACTAAACAAAGAATACGAAGCTCAGAATGTGTATCATTCTGTCTATGGGTGTGATAATTTTCCTTAATCACATATCCTTGCTTATACTGACATTTCTGTGTATATTCAGCAGTTCTAAAATGGTTAAGGGCTTCGTGGGAAAGACAAAAGCAAATAAAATACTGTCAGAACCCATATCATAAGGGGTTAAGCAGACTGTTGACCTCTACCCAAATTTATGGACTAAAATAGGATGTTTGTTTTAAAGATTATAAACATTTTTCTAAAGACTTTCCCCCCGCTAGTACTAGGAATAGAACCCAGGGCCCCAGTCCTCCAAAAAAATTTTTTTTAAGTTTTGAGATGAGGTTTTACTAAGTTGCCAAAGCTGGGCTTGAACTTGGAATTGTCCTGTCTCTGCCTTCTTGAATGCTGAGATTACAGGGAATGACACCACAAAGCTTTAAAGCCTTAATGTATCATTTATCTTAACGAACTGTACACTGTGTACTCAAGGTTTCTGATTATCTGTTTTACATAGCCTTGTACTGTGGTGCTGGAACAGTGACTTACAGATTTCAATTACAGAGTTCTTTTTTTGTATCATTGCTACCCTAAATCTTTACTTATGATACTCAAATTATGCTATAATTAGCATTAAGTTGGTTATAATCTATTAGATTCTTAATGCATCTTTATTGCTGTGTCATTTTCATTTTCAATGTTCCATTTAAATAATTTGTTTGCAACTATTTTTAAGTAAACTTATATATAAGAATTTTACAGCTATCATTGAATATTTTTGCCATCTCAAAATGTTTGTTGTACTCATTTATAGCTAATGACTGCATAAACATAGTTTCTATTCCTGTAAATTGCCTGCTTTGGATATTTCATATAGATGGGATTATACACTGTATAATCTTTTCCCGCTAACAGAGTGTTTTTGAGTTTCATCCGTATTCAAGAAGTAGCAGTTTGTTCATTTTATTGGTGAAAATGTTCCACTGGGTGGATATAAAACTTTTTATTCATTTAATTATTGATGGGCATTTGAATTGTTTCCAGCTTTTCACTTTTATAATTAATAGTGCTGCTACGGACATTCACGGATGAGTCTTTGTGTGAACATATGATTTCTTTTTTCTTGGGTAGATTCCTGCGAGTAGAATGACTGGGTCGTATGACCAGTTTATGTTTAAAGAAGTTGCTAACCTGTCCAGTTGGCTGGATCCCGCCAGCAGTGTGTGAAGGTGCTGCTTTCTTCACTCCTCACTCACATGTATTGCTTACGTCTTTCACTGCAGCTATCCTGGCGGTTGTGTAGTGGTGTGTCGTGGTCATTTACATTTGTGTGTCTTTAATGACTAATTGTTGTCAGTGCATTCTCATGCATTTAATTATAATCGTGAATTCTTTGAAATATGTATTCAGACTCCTTTTTCACTTTTTGATGGACTGTTTTATTACTGAATTTTGTAGTTATTTACACATTCAGATAAAAAGTCTTCATCAACTCTGTGATTTATAGATGTTTCTTCCAAATATATGACTTACCTTTTCATTTTCCTTTGAAGAGTATTTTAATTTTGGTGAATTCTTATTTAACAAGTTTTTAGTAGATTTTAATTAGCATAATTCCAAAATAAAAAATATGAATGAAGGAATTTACTGAAAAAACTCTTGCTCTTTTATTCACCAAATCCACTCCAGTTCTCCTCCCTGGAGGTAATCAGTGTTGCAGTTTTCCTTTATGTCTTTATTTTTGAACTCAGATTACAGAAATTTGGGGAAACCTCATTGGTTCAAAAATACTTCTGTGGTTCTAGTTCACTTTCTTCGTATTGCCTGTTTGTTTTGCTATGTTCTTCGGATTTTGGAATGTGGACTTGAAGTGTACTTAAGTCGTTAATAATGGCTTATTGCTGATTGAGATGCGTGTCATTCTATATCTGCCCACATTAGTATGAGCTTTCAGTTATTCATTTCTCGGTACTGTATTTTTCTTTCTTTTTTTAATATAGTGGTATTTTTTAAAAAAATTGGAGAACATGCCTTTATCAATTAAGAGTAATTTAAAGTTTAAGCCGATGTTTATCAGATACTACTTTATTGTGGTCTTCTTAGCTTTTTAAAAATAATGTCATAGTAGATCATTTTAAGTTTATTTTTTAACAAGACCCTTCGTTATTGAGTGAGAATATCACAGCTAAATACAGAGCCTTGGAAGGAAAGTGCTCTGCAGTGCCCTGTGCCTTCACTGGCAGCACAGTTGCCCACACATAGATGTCATGGGTTCCTCTTGATACGTTTGTTTTATTTGTAAAAGGTGAATTTTGTTGTTATCTTTTTAATCTTTGGGGAGGGGCGGTCCAGGGATTTATAGAGTGGAAAGACAGGAGTTAGATGTAAGTTTCCAAGTGATTTGTTAAAAGTTCTCTTAGCTACTTACTTGGATATCTACAACTGAAACTCAAGTCTTTACCTTCTGGGTCTTTGAGGTGTTTTTTTTTTTTTCCTACTTTGGTTGCAATTTGTTTTTCTTTTTAGCATTTTAACAGTTAAAATAACATTCTGAAATGGTTACTTTTTCTAATTCTTTTGTGATTTTTGTTTAGTACCTAATTCCCTACGTACTGTTTTTATATTATTTCCTGGTATAATCTTAGGAACCTGAGCTCTACTGTGTTTATTTTGTTGTATTAGCATTCTTGTATATAATTGTCTGCTCTTAAAATTATAAATGTGAAATGAAACAGTCCAGCCTCCTCTATCAGAATTCATCTGGCCTATCCCTTCACCCAAGCCACAGTACACACAAGATTAACAAAGCCTTGCACATGAATAGCATGCAACTTTGTGATGCCAATTTTTCCATTGAAAAATGCCTTGTTATCTCCTAAACTTCTAGCCTGCCCTTTCATGTACATCTTTTTCTGGAAAAATACAGTGTGATATCCCTTTTATTATTTAAAGAGTGGAGACTTTAAATAGTCACTCAGAATTTAATCCATGAGACCTGCATTTTAATTATTTCAGATACTGTATGTGAACACCTTTCTATTGACGGATTTCTCTCTTCCCAAACTGTCAAGTGCCTGTATTAATTGGAAATCTCATACTTTATTGAAGTTGGACATAAATAGTGTCTACTGAGGTACTTTTGATGATATGTTTCGTACCAGGAAGAGGACACATGTATAACAACCATGTTTTTCTTTCAGGGGAAAAAAAACCAAAAACCCCACTTTTATCCAATATCCCCCCGCCATGTTTTTGTACTAGGGTTTGAACTCATAATCTCACACTTGCCAGGCAAGTGCTGTGCTGCTGAGCTGTATCTATGGCCCAAAAAATCTTTGGAAAAGCTGAGCATTGTGGCATACTTTCTAATCCCAGTTACTTGGGAGACTGAGACAGGAGGATGGAAAGTTCTAGACCAATGAGCAATATTCTGCCTGAAAATTAAAAAAAGACTAGGGATGTAGCTGAGTGGTAGAGAACCCCTAGATTCAAGGACCAGCACTACAAAAAACAGTAGGTCGCTGTTTCAGTAAAGACGTATTGGTGGAGCATGGTGATCCCTATAATCACAGCATTCTGGGAGATTGAGAGACTGAAACGTTGCAAATTCAAACCCAGCCTGGGCAAGTTAAGCTATTTACTTAGCAAGACCTTGTATTAGTTGGGGATGTAGCCAAATG